CTGAAATCCGAGTTATAAAAGAAGTACTTTGATAAATCTTTATCATATTTTTATTTTGGGAACAAATTCCAGGGATATAAAGATAGCTTTGATAAATCTTTATCATATTTTTATTTTGGGAACAAATTCCACAACATTTTTATTAAAAGAAGTACTTTGATTTTTATAAAGCATAAACAAAATCGGTCTTTTCTGGCTGTGAAAATGGGGATGTCACAAACTAGGTATGACTAAAGTTGTTAAACAATTGTCAAGAACATTCTGAGGTTGTGCCAAATGATTGGTTGCTTGTGGACAGTTTGAAGTATGGTATGGTTTGGAATAACCATAATGACATGTTTTAGAATGGGATAATTCTTGGTCAAAATTAAAGATCATATGGGAATATAGAAATGATTCCATAGAGGGAGTTGATGGTTAAAATCTACATATGAATTAGAAACTTTAATGCAAGGAAGGTGTTCAAGGAGTGTGCCTTGAATTTGAAGCTCCGTTACTTTGGAATTGTTTTTAGTAACAAAGCTCCAATGGAACATTTTGTAATATCATTGGATAAGTATATATGACTTTGAAGCTTCGACATCACATAAGGACAATCCATGCAAGGTTAGTATTCTAACACACTTTTAGTAGTGAAAAAAATTTGCATTGTGAAATGAGCATTATTGGAATAGTATCCAGTCGATTTGTTTACAAAAGAAGAACCATAGAGAGACATAGTATGTAAGTTTATAACATGGCATGACTAATGTTTAATTCAAGTGTTTAGTTGATTACTAGAAACATTATATAATGAATAAAGTCTAATTAATATGTTGATTAAATAAAAAGGGTTTTATTTATATTCAATAGTTTTGAGACCATAGTTAATTAGGTTATTATTATGTTTCACTTTGCATGTTTTACTTCCAGAATAATTTGATTTTTCAAAATTCCACAGTCACTCGTACTTTTGGAAGTAAGTAGCGAATTAAGACTGCCATGAATTGAATTGTAGATTGTCTATGGGGATTAGACATAACAATAGCTTTGCTGCGATGTTCATGAGTACTTAGAAAATAGGGATTTTGAGTATTGGATTGACCCATGCTTAGAGAATTACTTCATGAATTTTATCACGAGTAATTCTGAGATGATAATATCTTATATTCTTGAAACGGAGACATATGAGTTGATGTTTACAAGTGAGTTATGCATTGATAATGCGTAAACACATTAGTAACTTGATGATTATAAAACGTATTATTGTGCATGATTTGATGAGTAAAATAGTGCAAGCGTATAAGTCAAAGTTTATTAGTTCCTTTTTCCATGACGGGAAAAGTGATATCTTTGGGCCCCTCGATGATTTGGTGTTGACTTACAAGTGCTTAACCAAGCATGGGCTAATTTGACGTGTTCAATTAGTAGTCTGAAACCAGTCATCAAAAATCAGAAATCGGGAAACAAAACTTGGACAGTGAGATTGATCATAATCCATGTCTCATGTCTATACAATATCTTGTAGAACGGAGGAATATTTGATCACTTATCTTAGGACAAGTAACTGACTGGGTCAGAGTTCGACAACGACTTTTGAGAGATACAATTTGCTAATCAAATTTAGAAGTTATACTGGCAACTATAGTTATTAGACTTATCCAAGTGAGAGACTGTTGGATTAATTGTCTAAGCCCATAGCTATAATTGATATATACTTAAATTGATAGTAGCACAATCCTTTTGGGTTGCCCTAAAAACTAGCAATTGGACAGATTATTTTGGAGAAAGAGATTGATTTATTATTTGATTAATTAACTGAAATAAATAATTTGTTAAGATATTATGAAATAATATATTAATTAGAAATAGTAATATTTAATCAGAAATTAATTGGAATTAATTTTGGGATTAAAGGAATAAATTTAAAAGTGCATGGACTGAAGTGTAATTGTTCAATAGTTGAGCAAGAGACAATCTACAACCCTCCATTAGGCTTGGACGGTTTCTTGTAGCCTATAGGGTTCTAGAATAATCCCTGGTAGATAAACAAGAAAGTAGATAATTACCCGGTTTAAGATAATATTGGATTAGAGCTTATCTAGGGTTTCCTAACTACACTATAAATTGAGCCTCAACCCTAGAATTTTCAGCCACCCCTTCTTTAGAAGACCTAGCCGAATTTTCTAGCCTCTCTTTTCCTTCTCAGTCATCTTCCTTTACTAGTGTTGGGTGTGAACCATTAGAGACATAACATTTGTGACACTTGCTCTCAAGGCTTCATCAACATAAGGATTTGCATTGTTACTAATATATAACAATCAAGGTATGATTCTTATAAACCTATTTGTATTAAATAAAAAATATACTAGTGTTTTAGGGTTTCTATTTTTGTTGTTCAAGTTGTATGTTCAATTAGAGAAAACATAGATCAATTTTTAGGGTTGCTTGCACACATAGGATTTATATGTTTTGCATAATACCCATAATTAACAACAATCTTTCGACCCGATTTTGGACTTGAAATACTTCACACAACACAAAAGAAATCGAGAGTTGGGCTTGGGAAATACCGCAACAAACACCAAGCATGAAGTGGCACAAGGTGGTGGTGGCCGAAGGCTGCCTAGCAACGACAACAGGTGGCAGTGGGGTGGCGGAGCTGCTTCGGTAGCTTTGTTGCCTCCGTTTTCTCTTCTGTCGGTGGAGAAATAGAGGGAGGAGGAGGGGAAGGGGGCAGCATGTGGCAAAGGGTTTTGGCTGGTGTTAACTTGACAAAATAGGAGCAAAAAGGGTGGTTGGGGTGGTGGTTTTTGGCGGTGGAATAGTGGTCCTCAATGGTGGTTCCAAATTGGGAAAAGAGAGAAGGGATAAGGAAGAATGAGGGAGATGTTAGGGCTATGAATTGGTGATGAAAATAAGAGCCCAAACTTCCTTTTTATAACCCTTAGGGCATCTCACAAGGCCATGCAAGGCGATACCCTCTTGGAAAGTCAGAGAGCCAAAACACACTTGCCTTGTACTCTTTGATCTTGTGTACACTCAATCTAAGTAATGGGGAAATATTTTTGGACTTAAGGTGGAAGGAAAAGAGGCCAAAGTGGATTGATTTTGATCATGAAATGCAAGGATGGTGGGCCTTGGTGATGTCACTATCCTTAAAAAGTCCTTAAAATGCTTATAGATTTGCATGCCAAAATCCCGACACATAATACTTTTTCGAAACTAGCGAATGATAGAGTCGAGTTCAAATATTTCAAAAGCCCGAACGGATTAATTTGTCAAGTTGTAGAACTCCAGGAAACCGCGTTTAAAGAGTCGCGTCTAATTGACCCGAAACACCCGATTTTTTGACCATAACCTGAGTCCAAAAACGTCCTCGGAATTTCCATATGAGGTGTGCAAGTAACTTAATGGATCCAACCGGTTTATGTAATTTTAGGAAAATCGCTATTATATTGGTTTGGTTTCTTATAACGATTGTATCTTTTGCATACGGAATCCGTTTTGGACATTCTATATATTTTCGGAAACAGATGAACATTTACTACACGACTAGAGTGTTTTCTTTGCTTACAAATGCTTAATACGAAGCTTCAGTTTTCCAGACGTATTAACTAGGGTTTTGGTTTATGCTTTGTGATTCATTTGACATTTTCCACAACTGAAAGTAAGATACCATCTGATATTCTATTTTAATTGTAATGACACTATTTATTCTCCAAAATATACATACCCTCTTGGAAAGTCAAGCATCCAACATACCCATGCCTTGTACTTTTTGATCTTGTATACACTCAATATAAGTAAGGGGGGAAGATGTTTGGACGTGTGGAGGAAGGAAAAGAGGCCAAAGTTGGCTGATTTTGATCTTGCAATGCAATGATGGTAGGCCATGGTGATGTCACTATCCTCAAAAAGTCCTTAAAATGCTTCCAGATTTGTGTGTGAAAATCCAAAAACCTAATAATTTTTTCAAAAGTTGTGAATGATAGAGCCGAGTTCAACGATTTCAAAAAACGAAACAGATTAATTTTTCGAGTTGTAGAACTTCTGGAAATCGCGTTCAAAGATCACGTCTAATAGACCATAACCTGAGTCTAAAAACGTTCTCGGAATTTCCATCAGAGGTGTGAAAATGTCTTAACGAATCGAATCCGTTTGTGCAGTTTTAAGAAAACCAGTATTATACCATTTTGGTTTCTTATAACGGTCGTATCTTTTGCATACATACTCCGTTTAGACGTTCGTTATATTTTTTGAAACATGTACTACGAGACTAGAGTGTTTGCTTCGCTCACAAACGCTTAATACAACATTTCAGTTTTTCAGATGTATTAACTAGGATTACAGTTTGTGTTTTGTAATTCGTTTGAGATTTTCCACAACTGGAAGTAAGATACCATCTGATATCTTATTTTAATTGTTATGACACTATTTATTTTCCAAAATGTGCATTAAATCTCACTCGGTCAAGTTATAAAGAAACTCACGATGAATTGATTGTTTACAGTTTTAGACCCACATTCTGAGATGTCACATCTACCGTCTCTCTACCCTCCACAACCCTCTTTCCCCATCTCTTCGCCTACTCTCCGATAACTTTAGCACTCTGATCCTTCGCCTCCATCACCATCGCTCGACCACACTTAGATGCCAACAGTTTTCTCTATTACCTCCATCTCCAAAAGATAGCAATGGAGCTCTTGGCATGAAATCGGCTGATGAACTCCGACCAACACTTTTAATTTACTCATTATCACAAAAGAGAAAGGGACAAAAAAACAAGATAACATAAAATTAGAAAATGACCAAAGAGGGCATTTTATCATTCGTCTATTCAACGGAAGACATTGATGGTAACCGAGATATAGACCAAAAACTAATATTACCAACAATAAGGATCAATGTTGTTAAAATTTTAAACTAAAGACCAATAATAGACCAAAAACCATAATTTACACTGAATTGAATAATATAATTTTTCACCAATCGTAACCGTGGATTGTTGTTTGCGCAAAGCTTATTATTATAATCAAGGGCTCAAATTCAGGAACCATTTTGAACCTCACCCTAATCAAGTGTACTTGGTAACACCACAACATTCTCAAACAACCACTCACCAACCACTAGTTTTTCTCCCTTCATTTTCCAATTTCATTACTGAACCATAAAAATATTTTTCTTCAAATATTTAATATTAAAAAATCGGAAAAGAAAAAAAATCAAAGAGTTAAAGGCCACAGACAGGCAAAGTTTACAAGTCATTAAAAAGGATTTGGTTTTTGGGAAAACAGTGTGTGTGTGTGGTGAGAAGATACAGAGATTGAGGGATTTGGCAATGGAGACTGCCATTAGCCGTCGACTCGCTCCTTCCCCTAACCATGGCCTTCTTCAATCCAAACCAGGTATGAACATATATATCTCTCTTTGCGTATGTGTAACTTGATTCGTCGATTACTGAGATAGGTTTGTTTGTGTTTTCAATTGATGCGTATTAACGCTTAATTGATCCACGAAGTGGCTGGAACTAGCTGTTTCGTTTAGCAACGATGATGTCTTTTAGGTTTTCGGTTATGATTTAGGTAAATGGAGTCAACATGATTCTATTTCTATCGTTGATGATATTAATCTTCGACATAATCGACTTCCTAGGGTTTCCATCGCACTTCCTTTGGCTTTTAAACGATCCTAATCAGTCAAAAATAAGCATACGAACCTATCGATATAATTACGTATGATGCACCAATCCAGATCAGAACAAACACCTAACAAAATCATGTGATTGCTACATGATTTACAATGTATTTGGTTGAAGTTGCATGCATTTTGAAAGATAACCGAGTATCAGTATCTCGTGCGTCTGTCTGTATCGCTTAAACACATGCTGAATCTTAACCAAGAATCATTCTTTTCACTTCACAGACATCTGAACATTTCATTCCTAATCCATCCCCTATTTGTTTTCAGAATTGTTACTTAATTTTCATAAACGGATTACTCTACCATATACAGGGGACAAATACCTGCTTCATAAACAAAGCACAAAATGGATCACAGTTATGACAATGGCGCCTCCAAGGCTGGAAAAGGGTGCTGGGGTGTTAGATAAGCCAGTAATAGAGAAAACAACTCCTGGAAGAGAGTCTGAGTTTGACTTGAGGTATTGTATCACTTTCATATATATTCATATATTAGGAGGATTTACCTTTTTTTTTCTTCTTCTTCTTCTTCAGGAAATCAAGGAAAATGGCACCACCATATAGAGTGATGCTACACAATGACAACTACAACAAGAGGGAATATGTTGTGCAAGTGTTGATGAAGGTTATACCTGGAATGACAGTTGACAATGCAGTTAATATCATGCAAGAGGCACACATCAATGGGTTGTCTGTGGTGATTGTGTGTGGGCAAGCAGATGCAGAAGAGCATTGCACACAGCTGAGAGGGAATGGGCTTTTGAGTTCAATTGAACCCGATAGTGGAGGGTGTTAGAAAGGTGAGTTAGTAAGTAAGTGAGTACATGATGGGTCTAGTGACACTATATATAGTCAGTCATCTGTGATTTGTAAGTACTAGGATTATGGCTATATCAATGTCAATAATGAAAAAGAATGATATTATATATATATATATATATATATATATATTGAATATGATAAGAATTAAGAAATATGATTTCGGATTGCTTTTACTGTATCTATTATGCTTTCTTGGTTTCTTTATATTAGATTGCAGGCGAGAGCACAAACGCTAATGGTGAAAATATAATTAGTGAGAGACCATAGACAAATACGCTATATTGTTTGAATCGATAATACTAGATAATCATTCTCCAAATTTTCCAAATTCCAAACAAGCATGAAATGTACCACGAAGATATAAAAATCCATTAAATTGCTTAAAAAATCTTTACCTGTGCTCGACATATATTGACTAATGACACTCGAAGCCTAAAGCCTAATATAAGTCATGTTGAGAGTAAATGATTGTTGGTGATTTGTATAACTGATATTATTTAGTGTAATGAAATTAATTTGTTGATCCGTGTTACCTTGATAAATATTGAATAAGTTAGGATGGTGGGGGATGCATATTTGTTCAAGTTTATCATGGTTGAAAGTAGACTGTTATTTAGGGGCAAAACCCTGAACCAACCGATAGGGGTCTGGGGGCAGTGGCCCTAGGAGCGGGGTCCAAGCGGTGGAAACCCCTGGCGGGGTCCAATGGGAAAATCGCCTGGCTGGAGTTGAGTTGTATTTGAAATCTGAGTTTATGTTTTAAACTCAATTTAGTGATCCTATATTTGAACCCGTTTTTAGGGACAATTTTATAACAAGTTATGATGGTTGTGAAACTGTTTTATGACAATTTTTCCTGTCGGTTTTCAGACAAGGATTATATGCCCGTTTAAAAAAAAATCATTTTCTGTTACACACAAGATCATATCATCTTATTCATTCTTTATTCTTGAACTTCGAGTTTTATCCGATTAAAATTTTTCAAAAGTACCATTGAAATGCTTTAATCTGAAAATGTTTTTTACAACTCCCATTGATCCAAGCATTCTAATACCTGAATTTTCTAACAACAATGACAGACATAAGTAAACCAATTGTTGGGGATTGGTTTATTCAACAGCAAAGGTTACTCAAGGGGGATGAATCATTGTTGGGATTTCATTAAGTGGTGGATGTGAATGGTGGTAACGGTGATTAATATTTGTAATGGTTTTAGATGGTTGAAAATCACGGTGAATATTTATGTCATCAAAAACAAAATGCAATATTAGAGACCAAATTTTTACTAACCATATGTAATTTAGTCTATTAATTTTTAATTAAACTCTATACTTTTAGACCTGACAATGGGGCGGGTTTGGAGCGAATCTACCTTGATCCAAACCCTTTTAACAAATTTCAAAATCCGATCCAACCCCGCTCCATAACCCGCATGGTTTTGAATAGTCAAACCCATACCCTTATCCACCGAATCGACATATATCCAAACTCGTCCCGTAACCCGTAGGTTTTTTAAAAAATCAAACATATTTCTCGTAAATCTTAAAATTTCATTTATCAAATAAAACAAATGTTGATTTAGAGAACACATTAAATACTCGAGGACTTTCGATTGGAATTAAAATCATTATTGTAATAACTTCTGATTGATTTTTGACCATCGATTGCATTGATAAAGAATAACAATTACAAACTTTCTTTCTGTTGATAAATGACTTTATTGATATAAAAATTAAATTGATGATTGATTGATTGAATACAAATGAATGACATCATGATTCTTAGTAGATGATTGGAAGTCTAGAAATCAAGTCCTCGAGACCCATGTAAAAACAGTATAGTCTTTGGTCTTTTCTCATTGGACTTTCAATTGGAATTAAAAGTAAACTTTAGGTAGTATAAAATATAAATATATAATTCTAAAATTTATACGGGGCGGGTTATATATGGAGCGGATCAATGATGATCCATACCCGAACATTTTAATAAAAGGGTTAGCGGGTACGGGTCGTTAACAGGTAAATGGATCAAAAACTATGCTCCAAACACATATAATTATTAAGGGTTTGGATCGGATCAGGGTCAAAACCCGCTCCATTGCCAGGCCTATATACTTCTTTACCCTTACACTACTGATATTGTACACTAAAGATCCCTAGGACAGTAGGGTTTTCTTTTTCCGTTTATAGTTTCTAGCTGCTCTTAGATGCTTAATCATATTGGGCTATCAGAAGTGGTTACCACTTGATCACTCCAAAAATACTCTCACCTCATCGCAACATCACTACCATTTCCCGGCTTCCCCACCATATACATAGGAAATAGTCACTCCACATCACCTTATGTGTTGTACATTTGAACCGTGGTGTGAGCCATAGCCAACCACGCCACTCTTGGTCTTCATGTCGATAACGACTCTACTGTCCCTTTTTAGATTTATTTATAGGTTTTGTTAACAAAAGAAAGCATGACAGGTATAGTATAATAATATTGCACGATGATGAGTCCGGAGTCCCAATATTTGTATACAGTTTCCCTAATTTATTTTTTTGTGTCTCGTAATCAAGGGAGCACTTTTATTGTTGAAGACTGAAATTTGAAAACCACTTATAAATGTTTCGTATGAAGCCCGAACGTTTGAAATTATAAGACTGAAATAACTAATAACTTAAATATCTTAATATATTTATTTGTCATTTTTACTATATAAGATTTAATAAATAAATCTAGTTATTAAATCGTATTCAACCCCATCGATTTTATAATTCATGTGTGTAATATTGTTGTAGTTGGTGTTATATCTTAACATTGTAAACACACATTTTTGTTTGCATTTATTTTTTTTGTTAATTTTTTGGATTAAATTTCTAAGATGTATTTTAATAATAAACTACATATGGATCATAGAAAAGTTATAAAAGTCAACATATATTGTTAACAAATAAAAAGAATTAACCACTAAAGAATGCTAGCATGCTTTTCATTTTTGTTTTCAACCACAAGTTTTTTGTTGGTAAAAAATCAGGCAACTTAATCAACAATCAATCGTCAACGATTTTAAAACATTGAACAATTTACAAGTGTTTTTCTTTATGAACCACAGACCAGATTATATTTATTATTTGAGTAAATTACACGAATCGTTCCTGGGATAAGTGTCAAATTGCACGTTCAGTCCCTATTTTGAAAATTAACTCGGACCGTCTCTCAGACATTTGAATACTACCCACCCAGTCCCTATTGTCATTAAACGTTAGATTTCTCCGTTTGGATGCCCCACATGCCCTGCACGTAGGGGTATTTTTGTCATTTCATGTCTTGTGTATATCATCAAATGCGTATGGCGCCATATCCCGTTCACCCAAACATTGCATACCTAGTCCCCGATCAAAACCTTTCTCGTCTCACAAAAACCCTAGTTTTCCGTCAAGATTGAAGATGAGTGGGTGGCGAATACGACCACAGATGGATGAAATCGATTTGGAAGCAAGTTACAGTAAGGAAAGCCAACCATTTTATGCTCTGTTCTTGATCACTTTGTCTCTGATTTTGAAAATATTGTTGTTTTTTTTTCTTGTGAAGGTGGGAATCCAACTGTTTTTAGTATACGGTTGCACTATGGAGGAGAGTTTACCAAATTTCCTGGGAGAAAATACATCAATGGACAACAAAAATTTGTGGACTTGATCGACAGTGATTTGTTCTCTATTCACGACATTGATGATATGATGGAAGAGTTGGGTTGCGTTGAAGAAGGTAAGGTTATGTATTATCACTTTAAACGACCGTTAGGGGATTTAGATTTTGGGTTGTTTGCGTTGGGTAGTGATCAAGATGTCAACCACTTAAGGTCCTACGTTGCTTCACACAAGCTTATAGATGTGTATACAGAATTTTGGCGTACCAACTTGCATACATATGCTATGTCTCCTAACCCTTCAAAACTCAGGATTGAAGAGATTGTTGAACCCTCTTCTTGTTCTAGAAGGTTGTGTCTTGAATAGATCGACACAACCACAGTTGAACCTCCTGTTTTAGAACCAAGAATGCAAACCCCTACAGTGGAACCTAACATGGAATCCCCTAGTCATATTGATGTTGCACATATTTCACCCCCTGGAATGGAATCCCCTATTGAAGTTGAATCTGTGAGAGAACCAAACATGGAACCCCATATTATGGAAACCTTTAGTGAAGCCCTAGGTGGCTCTAGTGATAGTGAGGGTAGTGGAGATTCAACTAATAGTGAAGATAGTGATTTCATTGTGGATAAGGATAACTTTTTGGATGATCCTGAGGTGGACATGCACGATTTCTACCTCAACATTTATGATAATTTGGAATGGGTTGGTGATGCCTCTATTACAACAGAGAATGTAGCAATGTCTGATGAGGAGATGGAGGTGATCAACACTGATGTTCTGCAATCTGAGTCATCATCTGATGAAGGGCAAATGAGTACAAGAAGAAATAAAATTCGGGCTGCAGAAAAGGCACACATAAACGATGCAACTCAAGTGAGTGACCCTTTCTGTATACTTCAAAGATTCTCAAGTTCTCAAGAAGCAAAAGACAGAATTTACTTACATGAGATAGAGACAAGAAGAGAATTAGATATTGTCAAGAATGATAAAAACAGGGTCAGGGTAGTATGTAAAGGAACAATACCAGATATAGGGATACTTGAGACTTCTAGGAAAGGTGGGCCAAGTCAAAGGAACATAAATGGTGGACCCAGTCATACAGGTAAAAAAGGAGGACAAACGGGTGAAAAAGGAGGACCAAGTAAAAAGAAAAGTGCATTGGAAGTAGGTGAAAGCAGTAAGTGCCCTTGGAAACTTTTAATAAGTAAATGGAAAAAGGATGATAACTGGACTGTGAAAACGTATGAAAAGGAGCATAAATGTCTACAAACAAGAAAAATTAAAGCTTGTAATTATAAGTTTCTTTCCAAACAAATTCTTGAGCAGTTAGAGTCTAACCCAGAAATACCAATTAGGGCTTTAAACGAGCAGCTAGAGAGAAAATACCAAATTCAGATGTCAGGCATGAAAGTGTCTAGGGCAAAAGCAAAAGCCCTATAAACTATTAGGGTTGATTTTGGGGGTCAATATTCTATATTGAGGGACTATCTACTAGAGGTTTAAAGTCGAAACCCAAACACAACAATCAAGCTTCAAGTGGATAATTCTTCCAACCGTACATCAGATACTAGAATTTTTAGACGTATATACATATGTCTTGGGCCACTGTAACAAGGATTTGCAGTAGGGAAAAGAGACTTTCTTGGACTGGATGGTGCATTCATGAAGGGTCCCGACCCTGGTATGATTCTAACTACAGTGGTAAGTAATTTTAGACATGGATTAACTACTTAATCTTACTTATGACTTATAGATGTTAACCTAATTTGTTCTTACTATTATAGGGATTAGATGGAAACAACTGCACTTACCTAGTGGCTTATGGTCTTGTAGAGTCTGAGAACTACAGTTCATGGATATGGTTTCTAAAACATCTTGGTGATGATTTGGATTTCACTACCAATTCAAACTTTAGATTTATAACTGATAGGCAGAAGGTATTATTATACACAGTTTAACTACTTCCCCTTTATATTATTTTTACTAATTATATAAAATTGACTGTGTTTATGTTGTAGGGTGTGTTGCCTGCAATTGCAAAATTGTTTCCTTGTGCAGAAAATAGATTTTGCATTCGTCATATCCATGAGAATATGAAGCGGAAGTGGAGGGGAAAGGAGTTTAAAGATTGTCTCTGGAAATGTGCAGCAACAACAACTGTTCAGCAATTCAATCTTGCAATGGAGGAACTGAAGAAATTGAACAATGATGCATATGAATGGCTTGAAGCCATTTGTAACGCCTGTGTTTCTGGGCTTGCCATTTTTAGCAATCTAATAGTCTAGGTTAACCTTTGTAACCCGTTTTGAAATAATAGAAGTGTATTATTTGAGTATTATGTGTTTTGTGCTTAATTGCTTAATTATGTGGTTTGATTAATTAAGAATAAAAATAAGCGTCAGAATGTGTAAAATAAACTCGATATCTTTAGATAATGTTGTAGTAGTTGAAACAAGGTTTCCGAATATATAAAGAATGTCGAAATCCAAGTTATAACGAAGAAGTTATGACCTGTCGAAGTTTCGCGACAGATACGGCACGACACAGCGCGACGTAAAAAGTGAATTTACGTTAGAGAGATATTTAGCCGAAACAATCTAAATGAGAATCGAACATCTCATTAATTATAGTAAAACGATAAAAAGTTAGGCGAGAACGGGCGTCAAACGAAGAAGTTATGAATTTATAACGAAAGTTTCTGTCTCGGCCTATTAAAAATAAATAATAAAAAAGAATTTCTAAATTAGCCGACGAAGTCTAAACAAAAGTTGTAGAGCGTAGTCTCACCTTCGCGTGGATATAAAGAACGTTGAAAACGGAGTTCGTATGAAGAAGATATGAATTTCCGAAGTTTATTAAATAATTTGTATTTAAATTTAATTGAAAAATCCGGTATTATCCGAGGACGAGTCATCGGACTCATCCGAAGTACGCCCCGCGTACACCGAGGATGTCGACACTCGCATCAAGTGGCTTCGGATGATGAACGCAGTGACGATTTCGGACTTGTACACCCCGCGTACTCCGAGGCTCCAGCCTCCTATAAATAGGATGCGAGGGCAGCCGGCTTCTTTGCTATTTTTCTCCATTCTCTCTCCCGTTTTGCCTCGATTTGCGTGCCAGAAATACCCCGAAGCCCCGGTAATATTCCCGAGTCCCGAAGCAAGTCCCGAGATCCCGAAGATCCCGAGAAGTGCGGTTTCCGAGCCGAAGCTCTGCCCGCGAGAAGTTCGATTTTTGTAGAGATCTTCCAGATCTGCTGAGGATTACTACTTTTGCAAGTCGTAGTGCTGTCCGATCATCTTCTGATCAAGTGAGTGTATACTACCTTTCATAAACGCAATAATAATACAAGTATGGTTTGAGTGTATTAAGTATATTGTTGTTTATATGTGTGAGTGTGTTGTTACTTTCTCCTAACGTATAATTATGAAGTATTTTATACGAGATACGTGTTATGTGTATATTTTGTTGTTATGTGTGTGAATGTATATTCACTTTCTTCTATCTTACAGATCTGATTATTTCTATATGAAATACGTGTTATGTGTGTGTGCCTCATCTGTTATATGGAAAATGTATTGATCAAGCATGCTATACAGGTTTTGAAAATATGTATAAAAATGTATGTTTTTATCTACTAATATGTTGGGTAGAACATGGGTAGATAGTTGGTGTGTAATAAACAGATGAGAGGCCTCGTTGTTGTTTTGATCCAGTCATCTAGCGGAATTTAGATGACGACCACGGACTTTTCTAGACAGTCCAGTGGAACGCTAGCAGGCTCATAACCTGTAGGTGTTAATGAACTTGGGTGTTCATTCGCTGTATTCCATCCCCCTCATGGTTGCCTTATTTGACTTATATTGCTGAGGAACCCCCGCAGCATGTGTTGTCACCCCGATGAAAATATTCTTAGATTAGGTCCCTTGTGTTAGTTATTTTAGGGACATAAAGTGAGAATAACGGGAATGGGTAACTGGGTTATTGTTGGTTGATAATAATTAATTTAATTATTTATTGTGGGTTGAAAACCCTATATGCTCACCAGGCTCCCAAGCCTGACCCACTCAGTTTTATTTGTATTACAGGAAGTGGCGCAAGGGCGTAAGATGGATGAACCATCAAGTTGTTTTGTTTACAAGTCTGTATATGTATATATTTGTTGAATGACTTGTAATGTTATCGTTTATGCTTATTGGTCTATATCGGAACATGACACCCCGAGTTTTGATTATATAATGAAAAATACATTTCTTTTATGAAATGCTTTGGTAAACATTGTTTTATCATGTTTTGTTTTTGGGAACAAATTCCGCAACTCTTTCAAATCAAAAGGATTTACTCTGAAATTATTTTAAAAGCATAAATGAAAATCGGTCTTTTCTGGCCGAGATTTTGGGGATGTCACAGTTGGTATCAGAGCATTAGTTTAAGCGAACTAGGAATTTGTAGGATTTCTAGACTTAAACTTAGAATGCTAAGTGGAATTTTGAGATGTGTGTCTGTTATATTTTAGACACGAGCACTAGTTTATTTTAGGAAGTTGCCTAAAATGCTTTATGTGCTAAATTATATGTTGCCATATATGATATTATTTGTTCGGATCTATGGTCTGTTGCCGACCGGATCTAGAAACTTTATGTGTGTAGGATTCTAAGCGTACGTCTACGATATTAGAACTAGCATGTAAACGTTTCGGAGTGATAAGGATGATTTGAATATCTATCGTGAATGAGGATCTAATTTCACCTTATTCGGTGTGTAGATCAAAAATGGTGAGAACAAGAAGTGGAGTTGGAAATGCTGATGAAAACAGGAATCAACCACCAGTGATTGAACAAAGACCTGTCGTAGCAGCAGCACCTGAGCCAATAACCATGGCTGGTGTGCAAATGATGATTCAAACAATGTTGGATCATCAGATGGATGAAACTAGACGGTTGCTTCAACAGAATCGTGAAGAACTGTCAATTCGTGTGGAAGAGCCTGAATTAAATGAAGGGCACTCGGAAGGTGGAAACTTCAGTGGATCAGTTGGTCAAGCCAACCCACCGATAGTTAGGCGAGACAACCATGATGGAAGGAATGATGGAATGGGATGCAAGTACAAGGACTTTCTAACTTGCAAACCATCGACCTTCAATGGAAAGGAGGATCCGATAGGAGTGATGGATTGGATCTCTGAAATGGAGTTAGCCTTCATGACTTGTGGCTGCAGAGGCAAGTTGCAGACATCTATGCAGTGCGTCAATTCCGAGGTGGAGCCGTTCGTTGGTGGAATACTCTAGGGAAGACTTTGAGCCCAAATGAGCCACTGCAATTGACATGGGCAGAGTTCTTGGTGCAGTTCAAGCGCAAGTTCTGCTCGGCTCAAAATCTATTGGAGCTAGAGAACAAGTTTCTGACACTAACGAAAGGCAGCATGTCAGTTGATGAATACACCAATAACTTCACCGATAAAATGGAGTTTGCCTTGCGTATCGTTCCAGACGAGCTGACAAAGGTGGACGGTATGCGAAGGGACTCCCATGGGAGTACGAGGTGCCAGTACGTCAGGCACATACTCTAGAGGCAGCTATCTGGGCTGCCAAGTCTGTTGAGAACATGATAAAGGGGAGAACCACCAACAAGGTTGAGGTTGGTGAGAAGAGAAAGTTTGAGGGAACATCTGGTTCTGGTAAGAAAAGCAAATTTTCAAAATCTGATTCGAAAAAGTTTGGTGGGGGAAAAAGAGGCGAAGCGAAGTGGTGTGAAAAGTGTAAGAAAAAGCACTTTGGGAAATGTAGCGAGGATGTAACCTGCTACAAGTGTGGGAAGGTTGGACATTTTGCCAATGAATGTACGAACAACAAAAGGATGTGTTTTGGTTGTAATGAGGAGGGGCACATTTTGAAAGACTGTCCGAAGAAGAAGGAGGCAGCTAAGCCCAACATTCCACCAAAGCCAAAGGCGAGAGCATTCCAGATGACACTGGAAGCTGCTAAAGATGAAGTTGATGTCGCTTCAGGTACCTTTCTCGTTAACAAATTGTCTGCCCAAATTTTATTTGATTCTGGAGCCAACTACTCCTTTATATCGCATGAATTTGGTAGAAAACTAGCTTTGCCTGTTGATAGACTAGATAATGCTTTATTAGTCGAAGTTGCTAGTGGCAAGTTTGTACCTGTTAGCCATCGTATGAAAAACATCTTAATCGACCTTAATGGGAATAAGTTTCACGAAGAATTATTACCTATCGAACTTAACGGTTTCGACATCGTGTTGGGAATGGATTGGCTCAGCGCCAATGATGCCGAAATTTTATGCAAGAAGAAGATAGTTAAAGTAAACCCGCCTGGAAAAGATTCGTTTATGGTGTATGGGGACAAAAAGTCGAGTGAATTCTGGAATCATTTCCCTAATGAAAGCCAGAAAGTGTTTGACCAAGGGATGTACATCATATTTAGCATTTTGTGATTGATGCTAAGAAGGAGAAGAAGGTGATGCACAGTATTCCTGTGGTGTGTGATTATCCAGAAGTATTTCCTGAAGATCTTCCTGGATTACCAGCTGATAGACAAGTAGAGTTCCGAATTGACTTGTTACCAGGAACAACGCCAATTGCAAAAGCACCTTATCGATTAACACCGACGGAGATGAAGGAGCTGATGATGCAACTTCAAGAGTTATTGGACAAAGGTTTCATTAGACCTAGTTCATCACCCTGGGGAGCTCCGGTGTTATTCGTGAAGAAGAAAGATGGAAGTATGAGAATGTGCATCGATTACAGAGAGCTGAACAAGGCAACAATAAAGAATAGATATCCGTTGCCAAGGATTGATGACCTGTTTGATCAATTGCAAGGTTCGAGCTATTTCTCGAAGATCGATTTTAGGTCAGGATATCATCAGCTAAAAGTAAGAGAGCAAGATATCGAGAAGACCGCATTCAGAACTAGATATGGACACTACGAGTTTTTGGTTATGTCGTTTGGACTAACCAATGCTCCGGCAGCATTCATGGATTTAATGAACAGAGTTTGTAATCCGTTCCTTGATAAATCTGTGATAGTGTTCATAGATGACATTCTGATTTACTCGAAAAGCCAGGAGGAGCATGGCAGACACTTGCGAGAAGTGTTAGAAGTCTTGAAGAAGGAGAAGCTGTATGCTAAGTTCTCCAAATGTGATTTTTGGATTCGTGAAGTCCAATTCTTGGGTCACGTGGTCAACCAAGAAGGGATAATGGTTGATCCAGCAAAGATGAAGCTGTGATGAAGTGGGAACAACCGAAAAGTCCCACG